GTTCTAAGTTTTGAAACGTGTAGAAAAACATATGAACAAATGATCAGAATTAGCAAATTATCTTTTTTCCCTAAAACCATTCAAAGCACTTATTCTACTGTAACAGATTAGAACTTATTATATTTTATTTATTATATCGACTATTATGATGAGTTTTTGAATCAGATTGTTAAATATAATACCAAAATAAAGAAATAATACTCTTTTATTCCAAATCATCGTTTTTTCATCATTATAAAGAAATAGGACGGCTTTAGAAGTAGAGCATTGAACAAGTAATAAAAATTATCTTCTATTTCTGGATACTAAAGGCGACGAAGAAAAACCTGCTAATATAGTATTTCTTTATTAACCAGATCTCAGTAATAATAATTCTGCGGAAAAGGTGCAGAAGCTCATACTGTAGATATTTATGGTTTTATGATTATATTAAACTTGTGTAAGTGAAATTTAATATCTGATGTATTTTAGATATTGAACGATGGTGAAGACAGGCAGTACACGAAACATCTCTGTGTTAATACTCAGTGAGTTATTTTAGATTTGCGTTATCTCATAATTGTGATGTTATATGAAACTCTATAGTTAACTACAGTTAATTCATCGGCTACAAATTTGGTATAAATTTTAGTTTTGTGTTTGAACTTTTAGACTGTTCCAATAGTGATGAAACTCGTTTGCGTCCGAGAAAAACTTGATATTAGAGAAAAAAATTTTTCATATGATTTCTAGAGTCAACATTCTTTCATTAAGAAACCTTCATTAGACAATGTTGCTATTAATGTTAAAATCTTGATTAACAGCATCAAATTTGTATTTAAATTCTATTTCTAAATCCCAAAATGTGTATGTATATGTGCATCACGCTTGTTCCTTTCAATCTTGTTTGACATCATATATAAAAGAACAGAAAAAACTGCAGGTTTGCAACGCATTAAGTGTTTCGCTATTGTTAAAACTCATTAAAAAAATCACAGAGAAGAAACCTGATCGATTTTGCAATGTTTTCATACCATTAAAAAAGAAGAATAACAGTTACACAAGTTTTTTTACCAAATAAAATATATTTTAGACCACAAGAAAGAATAAGACTTTTTTCATGTATATTTTGGACGGTCATAACAATAATAAAATTAGTCAACGTTAGAAAATTTGATTTTTTTGCTTGTGGTTATGTGCTCATTATATCTCATTAAATTATTAGTAGTACTGTATTGTTGATATTTCTCTTTCATCCCTAGAGTAAGAATTGTGATTGCTACTGTGGAAGAAGAAAGAAAAAAGTTCTTTACAATTTTGATTGTTAAACATTTTTACTTTTAAAATGACCTCGAAATATCTACTCGTGTTTTCATAGTCCAAATAAATCCAAGTTTAACTTCAGTAAACTTGATATTTATATCCTAGTTGATAGTGAATTGATGACAACGGCAGGGTTCTAATATCGTTACCAATCAGTATTGCCATTTTGCAGCATCTAAAAAACATCATTTTTTGCCCACAAGGTATTTCTAAAGATATACGGTAAGAAAAAATTGTTAACATTCATTTTATTTCATTTCTGATATATTTAAATATATTTCTCATAATTAAAAGACTAATGATTCAGACACATCGTTAACAGGATAAGAAGGATTTATTAGAAATTTGTGATGTGATTCTATTGAAAAAAAAGGAAAGAATATTAAACGTGGTAGGACCAGAAAAGAGTATAAAAAATGAACGAGCTGATCATTACCAATGAGTCCTAAAAGACACTACATTTTCCTGACTTTTATTTGAGAGTTAAAATCTTTTTAGTAATCTTCTTTAAGAGTACTTTGTTTGATTTATTGATTTCATAACCTTGTCGTTTAATAAAACCAATAGTATACTGCATAATTGTTAGTTTTGTCAACATCTTTACATTATGAAAATAATGAAAACACTTGGTAAAATTCATGAAAATAAGTGAAGTCATATACACGCGTTTATAAATTATTATTAATTTTATAGAGTACAGATATCGGTATTGTTGATTTTTTTTTTTTCATTTTTTTTGAAATATTTTTAACGACCCTATATTTTGTCGATCATATATACAGTTTTTTTCTTTGATTGTTATATTTGTGCATGAGTGCTTTTACAACTAGTACAAACAAAAAAGTATGAGTGTTTCATCGTTTAAATTTTTAAGAACAGTAAAGGTATGTGAAGATTTTGTATTTAGATTTAAAACAGAAGATCTAAAGATCTTTTTTTTTTATAGCTGGCTTGATAAACGTCTTTATTACAGCTCTCTTCGTCTCAAATCATCATCTAGTATTATTGAATAGTACGTTTGCAGAGAAAAAAACAATATGTAATAGAGTAGATACGGAGAGAGTAAATTGAAAGAAATTTTTTAGATTAGTTGATTACTTTGATTCGGGGCTGAAGAATCTTAGTTGTACATATCTCTTAGCTAAGATTAGAATCTTGGCGAATTTAAATTCTAAAATTGTTTAGATACAATAATTTTTTATTGTACACGTTATATTTTGGCATATAACAATATGTTTCAACCAATACAATATTTTATTCCGTTATGATTACGTTAAGAAATAATGAATAAACTATTATGTGATTGAAATTTTGAGACAGCGAAATTAATAAGAGTTCAAACTATATGCTGTTTTCTTTAAATTCAAAGCATAAATAAGACATTCATAAGACATTTTTAAATAAAGCCTGATAATTTCAAGTACAGCTGTCAAATTCATAAAGAATTGCAGTATTTTCACTAAGAAGAGACTAAAACAAGTAAAAGTACCAAATCTTATTGACAATGTATTATCTCCACTACTATACTTTAGCACAATTATTATGTACGCTACATGTACATTTTATACGAGAAAGGATAGCTCTAAGTTTCTCAAACTTGTGTCTCTATCTCATTCCATTACTCTCTACTTATTTTCAATAGAACCACACAATATTCAACTTTGGGTAAATAATTAGTTTCAAAAATAAGTTTCAAGCCAACGTAATGTTTCTAATTCATTAGTTTTTCTCAAATTTCAGAAGTGACTGACCATAGCTACATTCATTCACTGTTACCAAACAATGCATGAAATTTATGCTACAAAAAGAACAGTCATGACTATATTTTTTTGCAGAAATGAATTGTTCATCTCCCGGAGATCAGAAATTATAACTATCTTGATTATTGACTTATAGACGAGTGGATAACAGTTTTACTTCTCTCATCACGTTGAAACTTCTAGTCATGACATTTCATTATTCTACTATTTTGTAGACCTTGTCAAAATCTAAGTTTTTAAACTTTATTTCAAAGTTGACTGTATTGCAAAACTGACTCTGACATATCTCTCATAAAGAAAGTGCAAAACTCGGAAATCTTTTAAATTAATAGAGATCGATAAATTCAACAGCGATTCTATATAGATTTTCCTTCGAAGGCGAAAAAAGGATGTGAATACAAATAAGATATTATGTATGTCATATAGAATTTTCAATTTTTTAGTGGCTTTATTGTAGTTACTGACGATTCTGAAGATTATGTGATGGGTCTACATTATCGAATTTTGTGCTTTCTCTATATAACATATACATGTTACAGTTGAAAGTAGAAGTGCTCTTTTTTTGATTATTGTAAGGGGTTTAGCTGAACGCCTCGTCTCATAAGACCTTGAATTTAGTCTTATTCCTACGTGTTGTTATTAATAGTATTTTAAGAGTCGTAGAATTGAAATGTATCCTACTTTAAGTTTATTAATACTTATGCGGACGTTAATACTTTTCCGATTCTCGAATAACTTAATTTCGAGTTTATACAACGTTATTTCTGTTTTCTTTGTTATTGATTAAAAAAATCATACGGGCGCACTACTTAAATACAAGTACTTTTGTTTGGATCAACAATTCTTGTTATATAACATAAGTGAAAATGAAAGCTCATTATCTAGACACTAAATCCCTTACAATGACTTCTATTATTGACATTGACAAAAAGAATACATCGTCTTGAGACCACCATTGCTAATGTAGAGTGCTGACAAGTCAAAACTTGTCAGTTTCGAGTGGTCCGACATCTTGTCTGCAGCTAATAATCTTCAAATATGATCCCAAGCAGAAAAAAAGTATCGACTATCGGGTGATACGGCTAGCTAACTCAATATACTACCCAATATAACTAGCTAACACGATACATTGCTAGATATTGTAAGAAGTAATGGCTATTACAGTTCTTGACAGGAAGCCAGGCTAAAGCAGAGTTCTTTCATCTAATACCTTCTGTTCTCCACTCACACATATTAACCGTGCACTAGCTTAGGCATTATATTGTATGTCAAAATATATTACGTATGCTTTAAAATGGATGACTAAAGGCAGATGAACATAAGCGACTTATCTGATATTTGTGCATAATTAGCCAGAATCGAGATCTAAACACATTACCTTCAAAATATGTGACGAACAACATAACTGTCAAAAGCCAGAGCTGGAACCGGTCCGGACGGATCGGTACCGAACAAGACCGGACAGGTTGAAAAAGTCAACCTGGCCAGTAGAGATCGATATTTCACCGGTTGAAACTTTTGAAACATCTGCTCTTTTTACCCTATTTTTCGTGAAAAAACTAAAATTTCACGTCTTTTTCAGTCAGAATAAATAAGACGATGCTCAACACAGATATTGCTTTCATCACTTGTTTTAAGGTTAAATATTATAGACTCGTTATTGTGAAGGTTCTTTCACATGTGCTAGCAAACTATTTAATTTCTGGGGAAATTCTTTCTGAAAATCGATTTTCAAAAAACTTCGTCAGATTTTCGCCGGTATTTTACCGGTTTTTCACCGATTTGAGTTATAATTCCAATCGGCCAGTTTACCAACCGGACCGGACAGGTTTACCATTTCTCAAACGGTTCCAGCTCTGACCCTAGCTCACTTTGAAAAATAGAAGTACGGTTCAATTTATCAGCCATCTCCCTATAATAGAGAATTCTCAATCCGCTATGCTACCTAGAAAGGAGGCAACATATTTAAGCATGCCACCGATAAGCATTGGTATGTAACACTGATTTTGAAGTCTATAGCAGCATGACGACTAAACAGTTCTGCGTTCAACTTCCACTTACGTATGAATGGAGTCAGTTTCATATGTAATTTTTTAGTTTCAGCTAAAAAAGTAACATAATAAGTAGTATTCGAGTCACCGAAATCATAGAAAAATATGAGTTATATGAAAATTGTTCCAATAAACACTGAAATGTTTAATGTTTGAAAGTAAATGAACTTTTTATATTTTTTAAACTTGTATATTGTACAACAATTTGTTGTGGATAGAGTTCTCTTTTATTCTTAAAAATCTTTCGAGCTTCATTTTGCACAGTAATTGCTATTATAGCATCATAAAGCCTCTATGAGGGTATTTTATACATTATTTTTCAAGTTTATAAAAGTATTCAGTAGCTTGCATTTGTTTGAAATAGTAACTTTATGTTAAATAGGAAACGACAAAGATGTTTATTGATGCTATATTGATTGAAATAAACAAACAAACCTATCTCTGTTTCTCCTCTTGTTCTTTTCTTTCTTCAAATTTTTCAATTCTTGTTTTTTCTTCCATTTTCACATAAATGTAAAACCGCTCTACCACAAAAAAAAGAAAATTAACATTTATTATTTCAAGTACACTAAATTCCATCAACAGCAAGAAACATACTTGTTTTGTCGGATTCCTTTTATTAATTCTCTAAGGTCAACCGCACATATCTTCTGAACGGAAAAGCAAAATATCATTATTTAGCTTTTCTGTAAAGAAGATAATTGTCTTTTTTTAAAATTTATTACCGAAGCTTTTGCTTCCAACAATGATTGATGATATTGCTCTTGAAGCATCGACAGTATGTATATTGCTTTCTTTCATTAATTATAAGTATCTGAAACAAAGCTCAGTAATCTAACATTTTTATGGTTAACTGATCTACACTAATGGATGTGGAATACTTCTGACACATATCTGACCACACATTACTCTTTTGATGTGTTTTTTTCTATAAGCTGCTCTACCTTGCTAATCGTATGGTTTAAGCTCATATATCTAGTTGGAAATAATACTGACGAAATAGTTTGACTTTCAAAAATTTAATCTAAGAAATAAATATTGAATTGTATCATCTATTTACATTTGACCATGTTGTAAGAGATCTGTTTTAATTGTTCAGTTTTGCAAACTTTAATAGGAAAAAAGAACGGACAGATTCTATTACCCTTTTCTATTGTAAAGATTTGCTGTTGACAGAGATAATGTAAAAAGTATTTTCTAATTGAAATCTGATCTTTTGGTTGGTAGTAGTATATTTGCATTGTCATTCTGAATGAAATGCAGGTACAAATCAGAATAAAAGATACTTAAGATCCTATCTTAAGTGTAATTTTTTGTTGTTTTCGAACTTTTAAGGTTTTCCAATTTTGAAATTTTTGGCTTCTGAAGAATCTTTCAGCATTTTTGACTAGAATTCAGCAAGAAAACTAGATTTTTAAAAAAAGAAAAAGTTATATGTAGCATATGGTCTCCAATACCTGTGGTCAAAATTTATGCTCAATCGAATGAAATTTCGATAGAGTCTTATACTTTTGCAGTTGAAGGGTTTGATATCGTCTTAGAATCTATGACAAACCGAGACACTTTGGTTCACAATTTTAATCTGTGATCAACATTTAGTGAAAATAGAAGCTTAAAGCCTAGTAACAATGGCATGTCCTCCTAGCCTAAAATGTGTTAATTCTTCACTTCTTCTTCATTCTTCATTCAGTTAATTCTTCTTTTTTTTAATGTTTATATAGACTGTCCGTAGATAATAGTGAACCCTTCTCTCAACATATTACCCTGCTTCTACAGCAAGGAAGGCATTATGTATGTGCTCTTTGTCTTTATCCTTTTTCTATTACCTTCTTTTTATTTATTCACATTTATACATGGGCTTGATGTTTCAGAACTTATTTCATTACAAAAATACCACAAATTAATGGAACTCAAAAAGAAAAGAAGTTTTTCTTCTTTCTATTAGTTCAGTATTTAGTTGAATAATAACGATATTTTATTCTAATACGTGCTTGATGAATAAGACTACCGTATTCTTTCAATATATCGTCGGGTAAACTAGCAGTCAGAGAGGAATACATAAACCAAACTTCAATAAAAAAAAATAATATTACATCAATACAACTTGTTCAATCATCAAGAAGTAAGCACACGAGAGAACAATGATATGTTCAAGATGCAGACTAACAACTATTAAAGAAGACAAAGTGTTAAGAACATTTATTCTGATCGCCAGAGGACATTTATCGTGTACAGGTGTTTCTGACTGTTTTTTTCGAGTGATTGACACGTTCTGTTATGTAAACAAATGAAAAAAAATATGAAGAAGAAAACTATTGACTAGTTTATCATCTAATTTTAAGAAATATGATCTACGAACTAAAAAAATGAATATGTATTTACTTTATTATATTACAGAAATAGTAGTCATCCTATTAGCATACAATTTATTAGAAGTGCCGTTCTCGAACTCCCTTTATAGACTTAGTCTTCAATTAGGGGTGATATTAGTAATATTATTCTTTACTCGAAGAAACCAGTTCTGGACATGATGGAGTCTTGACCTGAAGTGTAAATCGCCTCATGGGAGATTTTAACTAATTAAACTCTTCGAAAATTTGAAATTCTCCGCCTGTTTGAAGTACCTAGCTCATCGATACCAGACATGAGCGGTAAGGTCAGAATCAAAATTCTTTTCAGGGAATTAGAAACGGTACTAGAAAACTTTTCAAGAGTTTCGCTCATAAATTTCAGCGATTTTCATGTAGAAAACACTTTTAGCAACAATTTACATTAAAAGATTGATTGACTCTTTTACTCCTCTTGTCTTTTTCGAGCCCCGGAGTATTGATTTATCTCTATGTTTCATAAGTAGTTTATTAATCAAAAAGACTAAATACAGATAATTTTATTATACGAATGAAACTATAGTTATTGATCTATTGTTTTATGTTTTGTTCACTGTAATGAAATCACAATGCGTTTAACAAATTCTTTCGGAAAAAAGAAACTTTAATCTCACTCATGTCTCATCGTTATCGTTTTTAATTCAGTTTTAATGGTATATATATTCTTTATTTATTATAGCGGTTAGAAGAAGCTATTTCTAATGCTGAAGATCGAAAAGACGATCCCTATGTACGCTCTCGTGTTCGTGATATATTTGTGAGAAGTATTTCGCCTATTGATTATCAACAACGTCAATCACCACTAGATTTCGCTTCAAGCACAATAACAACTGGAACGTCAATACCATCAATTACAAACAATCGACGAACAATTGATATGCACAATTCGTCACAAATAGCCGATGAAAATCGTTACTTAAATGAAGAACTCAATCGTGTTGAAACGGCATTAAATTCAACTCGAGCCGAAAAGGATGAACTTAGTATACGTTACAATGCTTTATCAGATCGAGTGAGTTCAAGCGTTTTATTTCTACATTAGATCTTCGTTGAATAATTGTACGTCAACTGATTATCTTCGCAGATTGAACTAGTTCTGTTAAGAGCGCAGATTTTTTTACTAGAAGTAAGAATCTGATCGATTAAAACAGGAGTATTGGGGTCTAAAAACGTACTCTCTAAAAAGAAAAGGTATTTTAAAATACGGAAAATGGTATAACCATTTGAACCATATCATAACTGTTTAAACGTTTTTTACTTTTACCAAAAAACCCTTTTGACATTTTCAGAATCCGAAAAAGCTGTGAATTAAAAAAAACCCTGCATTGCTTTGGTATTTTAAAATACCTGAAAAGTTTTTTTGTAACGTGAAGAAACCTCAACTGTTTTTCAGAACATAATTTAGCCGTATTTTAGAAAACGAAAATTAGTTTTTTGATAAGAATAAGAAACTTTTAAACAGTTATGATATGATTCAAATGGTTATACCCTTTAAACATTTTTCACGGGTGGTTAAACCGTTTTTTTGGTTTTTCTCAAATGGAAAATACTTTTTAGGGTTTTTTGAAATACCTTCTTTTTTTAGAGTGTAGTCTGTCGGTGTACTTCTTATCCTCCAGAGTGCAGTTGACTCTGTATGCTCGTGTTGTTTAATCTACCTTTGAAACTATTAAAATGAACTTTATTATGTACATATTAACAGATGACCTTTTAATCTCTTCTGTCTAGTTTACTTTATTAAAAATAAATTATTCAACCACTTGAAATGTCTTTTTGAAGCAGTACGTTCGTATATATGGAAAACTCTTAAGAATTTAATGTTTTTGTTGTTTATATATATATATATATATACGATTACTTTTTTCAAACTGAATAATTGGTCAATATTGTTGGTTGTTGGATATTTTTCTTTTGTTTAACCAGTTATGGATGAGAAAAATCAATATACACAGCATCAACGGACTTTTTCTCTTCTTTTGTTGAAAAAATAAGATCGTGGTTGTCATCATCATCATCATACACTCATAGAACGTCTTTTATTTACATCAATTTTGTATATCGAAACCAGAATTGTTGACATAGAAACAACGGTTCAGTCTTTTTTCTCTATTTATGGAGGACAATATCGGACCAAATTTCTACACGTAATTCGATAGAACAAAAGATTAGACATAATCTTGTAATGTAGATGAAATTTTACTTGCGAAGCTCGAATGTCTGATAGATGTCAAGGAAACAAGTGCATCTAATAATCATCAAATGAGGTTACAGATAAAAGCTTAAAAAAACTTAAAGGACTCTGAAAGATATAGCATAAACAATTTAAATAAAGTCAATTTAACAAATGTTAAACTATGGTCATTCTAGCGTCTTTGTAAAACATCTTTGCTGTTCCAGAAAAGTAACTTATTAAAATTCTGCTTAATTTCAGAAGACGACATTATGATCAGAGTTTCCAAATAGTATTAAATTAAGCTTTTAATTATTTAATGCTCTTACCTGGTGCATTTAAACTATCCAAATTCATTTTAAATTTGTATTGCCTGCGATCAGACTAAGATTGAAAAATAAATTTGCTATATGTGTGATAGAATATCGATTAAAAAAAGTGTTTAGACATTAATGTTCATTACTCGCATAAGAAAAGCATATATCTAGCAATATCACGTCAGATGAGTAGTAAATTGAACGACTTGTGCTTTTTCAGCTTGAACAATCATTGCGAGCTCAAGGTGTCGATACTAGCGACAATGAACCGGAACGAGGTATATTGGTACAGCAAAATATTGATTTAAGACGAAAACTCGAAGAAGAACATCAAAATTATAAGAGAAAACTGCAGACCTATCAAGATGGTCAACAGAAGCAAGCACAGCTCGTTCAAAAGTTACAACAAAAAGTACTGGGTGTTTCACGGTAATATATACTCTAATATATCCATATCTCTTTTTCTCACATGACAGATTTTACAATATAAAACGAAATGTTCGGAACTTCAATTGAGCCTTGACCAACAAAAAGCTGACATAGATCGTGCCAAAATTATGGTATGTAAAATATAATTGTTTAAAAATAATTCTTTTTTTTTATCATATGTTTTAGGGATCTTACCGTACGGATGGAATGCGTGTACTTGCATATGAAAATAGCTTGAGAAGCAGCGAAGAACAAGATATTGCGGCTATTACATTAGAAGAGGAGAAACACAAGTACATACCAAGCAAAGTTCAGGTTTTGATGCTGAGATGAACTGTTTTTTTTCGTAGATCGGCCAGTATAGAACAAGTGAACGCGATGTTACGTCAACAACTGGATCATGCAAATGCTGTTAATCAACAACTGACGGATGATTTACATAATATAACTGCTGAATTTCAACGTGTTCGAGATGAAATTAGTTATAAAACCCGTGATTGGCATGAAGAAGCGCGTGTACGTCTGCATTAGATACATAAAAAATCTCAACTGAACGTTTAGTTTTTCATTAAAGATGTTCAATGAATACTATAATAAAGAACACAATTTAATATATGAATTATGGCGTGATGTTGTATCGTTTCGAAAACAATTTACAGAATTAAAAGGTTCAACTGAACGTGATTTAACTCGTGTACGCAATGATTTGACGCAAACTGGTCGATCATTAACAACTGCTTGTCTTGGCTTTTTGTCAAACACAAAATCAATAGAATCTCAAGGACAAGTACGATCGGATTTCAATTACCGTATAATATTAAAAAACTTTGTTATTTTTATTCTAGATTCTATTGGATCGAGAACGAGGAGATAAGGTGACCTTAGAGGGAAAAATTAGAGAAAAAACTCTAGAAATAGATGAATGGCAAAGTCGGTAAGATTCTACATTTTAGTAACGATATGAAAATATTTTAACCGTTATTATTTTATTCTACTAGTGCACAGGAGTTAACGTTGTTAAACGAAAAATTGCGTATGCAATTGGCAGAAAAAGAAAGTACCATTGTTTCACTGACACGTGTTGCACAATCGATACCGGTAAGAACTGTACGAGAATGAAGTACTTAATTGTAGTCGAAACTCTTTGGTCATAAGTACAAACATAGAGATTAATTTATAAAAGTAAATTACAGATAAAATGCTCGAAGACAATAGGGCTTGGTTCTAGCAAAGATATTACTTGAACCTTAGCACCGCACCGTCAAGTCGTGTAATAACCTTGAACAAGTTGCTTATGTCTTAGTGGTCCGACAACATACTTACTGCATTGTGACTTACGATTGCCTCACTTAGTTGTTGATGTTTTGGAAAAATCTAGTACATGGTTAGTGAGTCTATATGAGGTGCTCGAGTAGTGAAGCGAAAAGAACTCGGCACCACATTAGCCTTCTGGTCAGAGGTACAATTGATAAGTAGTAACGATAGGGGTGGCCATGTCACAAGATTGTCACGTGCTGAAGGAAAGATATTGGCTTGTTAAAGCGGACACATGTCAGTGCTCTACATCGGTAACAGTAACCGCAATATAGGATAAAGTAACAATTTTATCATCTTGACAGTCATATTTCTTCTATAACTAGGTCCTTGATCTGTAGGAGTTGTATATTTTTGCTCATTTAAAATCTAACTTAACTTAAATCACATTTTTCTCATTCTAACTAAGAACTAGCTACATGCATGTAATTAGAAAGGTAATTATTTCATTAAGGTAATTATATTGACAGTGATGACCTTTATTTTTGTACCTAGTTTTTTCTTATAAGACCATTACAATTGTTTTTATTATTCTGAATAGTCAGTCTTTTCGAAATTTTTAAAGAGGATGAAAAAATGTTCTTTTTGCTCATTCTTTCTTTCTGCCTCTCTCTACTCAAACAATGCTCTAGTAGTTACTCTCACACAATATAATATAACAATTGAAAATTTCAATTGCTTTTCGAGAAACATATGATTGAAAAGCGAATTTTCGTTACTAATGTGCTTGAACAACTTGATTTGAAGAAGTTTCTTTTCTGTACTCTCCTAAAATATTTAAAATGAAATATGACAATGTGACAATTTTTCTGCTCTTAAGGTATACTTTTATACGAGAAGCCCATTAATAAATTAACTAAGAGGAGAAAAAAACCCGAGAAGATTGTTTACTGTATGCATAGATGAATGTAATGGACGAGGGCAAGCTGCTACAGAAGAAACAATAGCTACAAGATGAAGTAATAATAATCGACTTGAGAAAAGTATAAATCAACATAGTCAGAGAGAGAGAGAGAAAGAGAGAAATATAGATTTAGAATGTATGAGGTTAGACAAAGGTGATTATTTTGTGTTTTTGGTTGCTGCTGTTGGCGGCGAGGTTTCTTTACATACGGGCGAATAGCACACAATAAAAAAATAGATGTATCGAAGCTATCACGTAAGTATCCTGACTCAACCAAAAATAATGTTGAGTACTCATCTTCAATACAGACAATTTCTTGAATAAAGATAATAGTGTTTCATTTCATTTATAATATTTTTCGAGCTACACTTGCTTCTTCCTCTTCGTCTACTTCATAATATTGTTCTTCATTTCCAAATTTTTCCTTTGCAATATCTGCTCTTAAATGCCTTAAAAAGCGATTTATTATAAAATAGCGATCATATGTTCCCTTTGATGATATTGATGATCGTAAATTGATTGATTGTGATGATTTTTTAAATATTTTATAACGGAATATATAAATAAATAAAATTGTTATATGAACAATGAATATAACGAATGCCAACACGACAAATGCAATTGTTTGTTGACTATTCGACAAGGAATCTATTTCACCGTAACTTCCTGATATATTATAAATTAAGAACAACAATAAAAACAACAACAACAGTTGAATATTGCACTTCATAACAGAAGTAGACGTCTCAGATTAAATTTCTTTCTTTTATGATCAGATTTTTTTGTTATGTTTTTCTAATTACTAAATGATGATCATGTGTTATGAAAATCAATCAAAATTATCTATTGGCGCTAAAGTTATCGTTCTTGTTTTTAACCAAAACTGTCTTATTATTAGAGTTATTTCTGTTCCGAGGAATATGATCTCTGTTTTACCTTGAGACTAGTTTCCAACTTAGGTGATTTTTTTTTAATCATTTTCAACGTATGAACATGAAATAAAAATGGAATTTACAAGTGCATTTACAGTGCTCATGATCGTCTACAATTCATTTTTTCGATTTGTTTGCTTAATCAAATTTGTTTATAACCTTGTCATCGTTAACGATATAGGAGTTGTGTCAAGTTGTTCTATAATTCCGTGGAAATTCTAGACTTCGATAGAATTGGTGTAATAGCTTCTTTCTCTCAGGTTCCAGCGTCATACTTATACACACAGTTTTTCCTTATGAATGCTTACTGGCAGAATCTGCTCAATTCTGCTGGAATTCTAGTCAGATTCTGGTAGAACTAGAACTAAAATTCTGCCAGAATCTGACTAGAATCTCAATAATAATAAGTGTTGAATAGATCGACCTGCCTATTGTAGGAATTTCTAAGGAATTGTAGAACTTGACACTGCTGTGCCAATTATTTCATGAATATCTCGAGAATAAAAAATGAGAGAGAGTTCAAGTTTTTACCATTTTGTGAAAAAAAATCTGCTCTCTGTTTTTTGGCGTTTAAAATGTTAGGTTTTTCGATGGTGTACTTTACCAGTGAAAAAAGAGGAGATTGTCATGTTTCGAACTCAGATTAAATTATCATACCATGGTTGAATAGGTGTATATGCTTCTACAGAACTATGCAAATCTAAAATCTATATCTTTCATATGATTTTTGGAAGAAGAGAAGTATCTTTTAAAGACATGTATATCTCGCTAATGTTTGACTCTTAGACTCTCAGAAATATTTTGATTAGAAACCATATTATCTACCATTCTAAATCTCGCAGTAGTATTTGTTTTCGGAGGAAGATGAGAGAACCTAGTGAATGTAAGTTCTAGCAAAAATTCCCTAAGAATAAAAAGCTCATATCTCATTCAAAATCCATCCAAACTAATTGAAATTTATAGAACATAATCAAATGAGTAAATTGATGACTTAGAATAGCGAAAAGACTTGAAATGCATTTATTTTTCTAGTGACAATTTTCTAGAAAATTGTTGAAAAAAATTTTACTGATAAGAATAAGAGAAATTTTTAGTTTTATTCAATAGCGGTAGAGTTAAACATTTTTGTGTAATGTTGTTTGTTGTTAAACATATTTAAGTATCTCAATATTAAAGTTTTCTAAAAAACAACAACTTCTGTATTATTTTTCGATATTGAGACAGGCTTGATTCGCGTAGTCTAATAAAGAGTGTATCGATCTGTCGATCAATGCCTTGTTTTTGGTATCCTGTACTCTGTAAAGAAAAGGATTAAGTATGAAACCTACAACGGTATAGAGAAATGCAACCATTTCTAAACCCGTTTAAGTTTCGTAGAAGAAAAGGTACGGTACAGAACCGTTTACGTGCATAAATTCTATCAGTTATTTTTCTAAATTTTTTTTCTGAACAAGTGGACCATTCCAGCAACTTAGGTGTGCTTGCATAGTATAGAGCGGCGAAAACAGAGCCCAAAAGATATCTGAAACTTCTATAATTTTTGAAAATCATGAGGAAAAAACATAACGAAATAAGCAAATGCACTGATCAATCATTTCAATGGACTTAAAACGATTTCGTACCGTAACTTTTCTTCTACGAAGCCTAAAAGGGTTTAAAAATAGTTGCACTTTTCTATACCTTTTTAGGTTTCGTACACAAACCTTTTTTTTACAGAATAGTTTTATGTTCCTGCGAAAACGGAACATCGAAGTAAAATATGTCTGCAGATTTCTGCATAGATTTTATAATTAGCAAATTTTGTACAGAATCAACAAAACTGTTTGTCAAACATATATAAAGAGAAATATTTTGTAAACATGAAAATATCTGCAAAAATTTCTCAAATACTGTAATTAATCTGTGTAAATTCTACTGCAAATCTTATCTACATTCTGTAGTACATCTGCAAACTTTTATTACAGATCTGATTCAGATTTTTATGTAGAATTTTGTTCTTGCAGAAATTTTCTCTGGATAGTCCTATTTTCGTCGTCTAGTTCATGCGCATAAATATGTTTAAAAACATCGAAATTTTGATTTTGATTTATGTTTTTTTTTTTTTTTGTTGTCTGTGTCTGATGTATATAATCTTTGATTTTTAGTGATAAAAAAAAAAACTGTTTGTTCTGTTTTGATTATTTCTAATTTTCTTTCTTTCATTTCGTATAAACACGACTTTTGATTATATTTGCTTCTATTATTTCATAGAGATGATTTCAAAAGAATTTTCTTTAAGAGTTTTCTTTTTTCACAAAAAAAAATTTTCTTGTTGTATTACCATATATAACATTATCATCATCATCATCATCATTATTATTGATATATATATATAGTGTGAATTTTTTTTTTTATATTTCATTTTGTTCGTTCTTCGTTTTGGCTTGCGGTTCTGCGGTTGGTTTACGTCTCTATATTTTAAAAACATATATTAAAAATTTCTTTTTGCAAAAACGAGAAAGATCATTATTTTTATCTAGAGATAGAATTAAACATTTACCAGAATTGATTTTTTTTTTTTTTATTATTTATAAAAAAAATAGGTTTGAATTTTTTTGTGATTTTTTTTGAAATGTACGCTATTTTTTTAACACTCTCAGGCGATTTAAGTTTTTGATTGTAGACTTCATTACCTCATGCTCTAGATAGGTAGACATTTTTCACTTGTCAAAATGGTCTGTTCTCTTGAAAGTATAGTCATCATTTTATTCTTATAAAAGGATTTTAAGTATCAGAAAATTAGACTATTTTCAAGTGAACAAGTAAATGAAAGTGTTTTGTTTAATAATTCATAAACTAATATCAATTAATGGTCGACATTCATTTTAAAAAAAGTTAGGAAAATTTGTTTACTTTTTAATGACAGACAATAGTACGCTCAATATATTCGACTCGTCCTATTTATCTTTATAGAAAATTATTATTTTTTCAGACAAAAAAAAAGAAGGAAGGGTATACAATGTCAAGTATCAGTAAAATTTATTTTACACTGTATGACATAAACGAACAAAAACGTTGAGAAAAAGGCGACGAAACAGTAAAAGCAACAACTTTTGCTATTGTTGCCTTTTCATTGGCATTTTATTTTTTTCGAGAGTTGAGAAGATTTTATTGTTAAACCATTAGGCTCCGCATAGTATTTCTCTTATTTTTTTCAAAATGTTTTCTTCATTGTTCATTCATCATAAATTTTATTTTCTATTCTTTTTCTTTTCCTTCAATTTATGAACTACTAGGCTCTTGTCTCTTTACATCAATTGATTATTCAATTTTTTTTCTTTTCGTTCAAGAATCTACACACACATATACACATACACACACACACACGTACATCTACACTTGATTTCATACTCAGTAATATTGGTTAAATACATCTAAAAAAATTTTTTTAAATAATGTCGTCGTCACATCGAATACGGTTTCTGGTTAGTTATCTTGACTATCAAGAGATAATGAATGATACATTTATTGTGCTGTTAATATTATATACATGGTGAAACTGACATTAATTTTACTATTTTTATTTAAGGAAGGAACATCGACAAGTGGTGGTGGTGGAAGTAGCAACATTCGAGAAAATACGTTGGATGCTCGTACACGTGAAATTCACATGGAAACCGAACGCCTTCATGCTCGTTTAAGAGATATAGCACAAGCTGTTATTAATGATGAAACAGACCTAGTAGATTTTAATGTTGATGGTGGTAGTAATTCACCGCGACGTCTTTCACCATTGAGAACAACTGGTGGTGATAGATATGATTCACCTGATCGTACATTAAATACTCGGTAGGCATCTTATGATACTAATTTGACATTATTTTGTAACGTTTATTTTTTCTTTTTCTTTTTTTTTATTTACTAGAATTCGTTCACCTCGATCACATTCGCCACAACGAACGTTAGCATCTCGATCGCATTCACGTAATGTCTCACCATCATTTGCAGATTCAACATTTAGTGCTGTTCATGCAGCATTAAACAAACGACAAGTTCAGGTAAATAATAAACGAGAGATAAAGGAGAGAGAGAGAGAATTTTATATTTTATTTTAAATGAATATAAGAAATAACAAACAGAAAAACGAATCGTTATACGTCTAAAATCCTATTGATGTTGATTTGTAATTTGCGCTCGTTATATTCTTTTATTTAGAATGAAACCAGTGTTTTAACTTGGAAGCCAAACTCTTATTTGTGAACAGTAGCATTTTCTTTTTTAATATAAAAATCAGACATCATATAAATTAAAATTTTGTTCCGCTTTCATTTCCTTCTTTCGCTTATGGGACAAATATATGTTTTAAACAAATCAATGACGGCTTTATTTTTATACTAAATCTAAAAACGTCTTTTTTTTGAGTGAAACCCAATTATACAGCTTAAACACTTATATACAGGAGAAATATGGGTCCTAAACAAAAAACGATTTTCGTGTTTGATAATAATTTATGGTGTGTCGTGTGTATTTTAAATACGATCTCTATCTTCCAATGTTTTTTAATCTAATAAACTTATTTTCGTAGCAGAAACAAAAGCGTGTTTGATCGAATTGTTTTAAATATTCTTTCTTTCTTTTTCTTTTTTCTACTCAATCAATTGTTGTCAATATGTTTAAAAAAAATTCTTTTAGTCTGTGTTTTTTTGTTTGTTAAATTCAAGGTTCATGATCTTCAAACAAAATTAACAAATTCTCGTGATTTAATTCAACAACTTAAACGTCAATTAGATGAATCTGATTCAGAACGACGTCATTTAGAACAACAATCAACCGGTTATAAATTACAAATTGATGAATTACGTCGACAATTTGATGATACAGCAACGGAACGAGATCGATCAAAAACAGCACTTGAATCATCGAATTATGAAAAAATTAATTTGGAAAAAGTTCGACAAGTATGTAGAAATAAATAAATTATTTTAATTGAAAAAAATAATATTAAATTTATATTATTCTAGTCATTAAATAATCAAATTGATTCATTACGAGCTGACTGTGAACGATTGCAACAGTCAAATACTGAATTACAACGACAACGGTAGATATTAATTAAATAATCGATAAAAAAAGCACAATATTTTATTTGTTTATTTGAACTTTTAATTTTAGAGATATATTAGAAGAAGAAAAAGAAGATACAATTAAAGATAAAATTCGTCAAGTGAAAGAAAATGAACGATGGTAAATATGACTTTTAAAAAAAATTATATCTTTGCTGTAGAAATAAATTAATTGTTCATTCTTTTTTTTTGTTTCTTTTTCTAGCATTAAAGTAATTGAAAATCTTGAAAATAAACTATCATTTTTGAAAAAAGATGTTACAGAATTACGTGAACAATATCATAAAGAAAAATTGGGAAAAGATGTATATGGTCAAGAAAAACATGTTCTATGTTAGTGTATTTCGAGAAATAATTAACGAAATATTTCTAATAGAAAATTTTTTGTTTTGTATAGCGGATGCTCTATCAAGATCTGAAGTTTATCGTGCTGAAATTGAACTCGATTTAAACAAAGAACGAAGTGAAGGAGCAACATTAAGAGATTTATTATGTAAAGTTCAATCGTTAAATGAAGGTTTAGCACAAGATAAAGTGGAACTAAATAAAATTATTCTATTGGTTTGTATTTACAAGTAAAAGAGAAATGAGTGTCATCTTGTTGGTTATTTTATTTTATTTATATTTAAGCTTGAACAAGAAAAAAATTCCATATATAATGAAAAATCAGATGTTGAACAAGATAAATCAACATTACGTCAAGAACTTGTGAAAGTTGAACAAGAAAAGATTGATGTTGAAAATGAACGTGATAGTATGAAGAAGAAACTATAAATACTAAACATATTAATTATTTTAATTTTATTTATTTAGCTATTCATCACCGTCTACAGTTGTGTGATGTCAGTCGTCAACAATTAGAACAAGAAATTATATTATTAAATAAAGATAAGGCAGAAATTATTGATCAATTTCAACATGTAAGTGGCATTACTGTAGAGAAAAGAAGAATTATTTAATTAAAGAAAATATTGTTTAGATGTCACGTTTAAAAAATACACTTGCCGAAGATTTAATAGCAGCTAAGAAAGATATTGAACGTTTAAGTGATCATAATTTACGTTTGAATAAAGAAAAAGAAGATTTAACAAAAGAACGTGGCAATCTTGTCGTCGATTTAACCGGAACAGAACGAGACAATCAAACATTGAGCTCGGTAAAACATCAACTTATAAAACGAAAAAGATATTATTCATTCATTCTTCAATTTTAGACATTGAGCGCATTACGTGCCGAGTAAGTCGATTATTTAAGCTTCTTTTTCATTAAACCGAACATAGTAATTTAACATAGATGAGTAATCAAGACATAATATTTAGTGTATAAAAAGTCACATAGCTTTAGTCAAATTAAAACTGTTAAATTCATAGATTTTTGCTAATTTACTTCCGGAAAGAGTTGTATTTTTCTCTACCCATTTATTGCTTTCTGTATTACATAAAAAACTGTTGGTTTTTTTTTATGAAAAACTAGTCAGCCCACGACGACTGTAATTGAGAAGTTTTAATCCGAATCTATTTTCTGTTAGGGTTTATTACACCCCAGACAAAATTTTTTTGATAAAACTGATAAGATTCTTATCGGAATCTTATCAGTTTCTTATATAAGATTGTTTAAGATTTTCCATCGATAGTCGTAAGTATCTTAATTTACTAAAAGGCAGCTTATGAGTCGGTTTTGGTGATTTCGGTTATGATTAAGTTGCTTCTATTGACTGGAAAATTTCATAAGAATTTCTCGTAATTCTTATGAATTTCTTACGAGCCTCTTATGAAAATCTTATAAGATTCTTATAAGACGCTTACGACTGCCGATGCGAAATCTTAAACAATCTTATATAAGAAACTGATAAAATTCCGATAAGAATCTTGTAAGATACTGATAAGAGACTGAGACGTATCTGGTAAGATTCTTATATAAGAATCGATGTCTAGCCCATGTTGTGTAAACCGCTCGAAAAGCGTCGGTTAATCCCAGTTATTTAAAAAACCAACGGTTAACTGCGGTTATTTCAGCTGAAACCATTGCAACACCGCATACAAACCGACGGTTATTTTCGGTTAACTGGGCGCTTAGCCGTCGGTTTGTATGCGATGTTGCAATGGTTTCAGCTGAAATAATCGCGGTTAACCGTTGGTTTTTAAACTAACTGGGATTAACCGACGCTTTTCGAGCGGTTTACACAACATGGGAGGGCACTAACTTCGTTTCAACGAGGTGCTTATCGTAAGGCTTCAACATTTTCTCATCTTTTTAAAACAAGGTTTTGTTATAAAATCAGAGGTAGAAATGGTACTAGGGTTACAAGTAAAGACTTTTCAGATGGATCGATTTTTTTAGATCGAATTTAAAAAGATCTCTTACTTACTTTCTTCATTCAAAACCTAACAAGGAAATATCAAAAGTTTCAATAAAATAGGTGAAAAACGATGCGAAATTCTTTTTCTAAGTGACGATGTTGTGATGTTAACAACAGTTTTTTGATAAAATTATCGATAAAATTATCTGCCTACCACCGGTTATTTTTAAAAACTTTTAAACCAACCAGGAGAAAGGCTGGTTTGTGAGATACAAATCTTTAGATCGGCGTAGATATTGACAACTTGTTGACAAGTTCCATCTCTGTGTCAAACTACGCAAAAAGAAAAAGCTCTTTATAGTGCATAGTAGAGTTGGAAACTCTTATGGATCCGAATTGAATCCAGTCGAAGCAAGAAAAGTTTTTTTATGAGAATAAAAAAGGGAGAAAATGAATTGGAAAATTTCTCACATTGATGCTCAATCAATGCTCGTTTTGTTTAAAAAATTCAGATTTTCTCTATTTTTGTAAAAAAAAAGCTCTTAGAAGAATGAAAAGTTTTCAAAAAGTTCAATCGGTGAAATTCCGGCAGCTATCCGATCATTTCAAAAGCTCAGACGATCTGATCTTGTCTGATTCCAGGTCTACTACAGTTTGACGCTCCGCTTTTTGGATGTGTAATGCAATGATTGTTAGCAAATTGTTAAAGTAAAATCTTAATGTTACAATAGTTCATAGCGTTCGAAGTTCTTAACTGTGAAGATGAGTTTTCTTTCGTTCCTTTCAAGCCAGAATAAGTGCTCCAGTTCATACAAATTACTGTTAAGATTACTATCGGATGTTACATCACATTCTTTTATTATTATATTAGAAAAGAAGGTCTTGAATCAAGTTTATATGAAGCGCAAAATATTATTAGTCAATTAGAAATTAAAAGAAATCAATTAGAAGGTGAAAATCAAGAATTATTATTGAAAAAAGAACAGTTGACCAATGAAGTACAACGTTTACATGATGAATTAAATAATGAAATAGAAAAATCTGCTCGTATTCGTGATCAGTTAAATCAACGTAAATTCTTGCATACATATGCAATTTCATTTCATTTTCTATGATCTCTCTATTCTAGGATTATCGTCATTGGAACAAGACAAAGACACAACGATACGAGCACATCATCAAGCACATGAAGACGATGTTGAACGAATGATACGTGAACGAGATAAATTACGACATGAAATGGAAACAGCTCGAGAAGAAATAATTCGGCAATTTGGACGAGAAAGAGAAGAGACTGGACAACGTCATGATAAAGAAAAAGAAGATTTACATTATGAATTGGCTAATGCTATTACAGAACGTGATCAAGCACTAATCGAATCTGAAAATGAAAAACAAAAAGTTTGTCTTTGTACTATTTTTTTTTCAATATGTTATGACTATATTGTTTCTGTGTTTAGCTTTTATCCATTGCTCAATCGGAACGTAACTCATTGAATGAAAAATTAAATCAATCACGCGATGATTTAACTCGTTTACAAGTGGAATTTGATAAAATACGACGTGATGCCGCTTTACATCATGAACAAGACCGTCAATTAATATTATCATTACAAGATGAATTGAAAAAGTTTCACTTAAAATTTGAAGATTCAACAATTGCCAATGAACGAGAAATACAAACATTGAATAATGAAATTGAACAAGCAAAACAACAAAAACAATTATTAACACATGATAATTTTGAAATAAAAACGCAGCTGAAATTAACTGAAGATAATCGTGATCAATTAAAACGAGATCTAATTGAATCAAATCGACGTATTCGTGAATATGATGAAAATTTAACATTACAACGAAAAGAAATACAAGATCTCAAACGCTATTTACAAGATGAACAACGTGATAAAGAATTAACAGTTCAATCAGGTGAAGATTTAAGAACAAAACTGAAAAGTGTTGAAAATGAAAAAATTGATTTAAGACAAGTATTAGATGAAGCAAAACAACGAATTATTGGTACGTTTAGCTGACAATTAATTATGTCTTCTTTTTAGAGACCTTCAAGACTGATACCGTTTCTGGGGTTAAGGAAAGTAACAGAACTTTTCACAAGTGCAATAGAAAGTAAAAATCTTGATTGATTAAGATCCAAAATGTTAAGAATTTTATCCATCATAAACTCACTCACTTTTTCGCAGATCTTTTTCTCCTTAAAGTAAATTTGATGGAAAATACTTTGATAAGGTATGGAGGAGAACTTACATGACGTCATACTGCATACAGGATGATCAGTTTCACATAAAGGAAGATATGATACTTCTTATCCAAGAACAATAAACGAAAATATTGATCATGTAGACCTCAACTGTTTTTTTTCATTTGATCTGCTAATTTTCATTACACTATCGAGATAGACTGAACAAGATTACTAGTTTGTTTTTAGTTATACAGGTATCACTAAGGCTTCTGTTTATCAGATGTTGTAAGTCACTAAACGTTTACTTTCTTTTGTGATGTCCTTGCTTATGCAAATAAATTTGAACTTGAACTTACTCATTTATAACTTACTTCTTTCCACAGATTTTGTTCCGATTAATACCAAAAGGATGGTTTTCATGCGCTAATACGGCTCCGGTTTTTCTTTCTATTTGTAGTACTCGAGGAACAAAAGTCGTTGTGTCAGAAAGATGCTACAGATTTACGTCATAATTTACGTGATGTTGAACGTTCAAGATTAGAAGCACGCCGTGAATTACAAGAACTGAGACGTCATGTTAAAATGTTAGATGGTGAAACAAAGAAAAAATCAAAAGAATTAGAAGAATTGGCTGATCGTGTCCGACATGATGAACAACGTGAAGAAGAAATGAGACGTGAAGTGTTTGGACAAAAACAACGTTTCGTTGAAGCTGAAGCCAGTCGAGAAGTATTGAGAAAAGAATTGGCTAATATTCAACGACATTATGCTGAATTCGAAGATGAACAACGTTTGAGAGAAAGAGATTATAAATTGGCTATTGAAGATGCGAGACGTTTAGGTAGAGAGAAGAGAGAACTGACTATCTCAATGAGCAACATTAAACAATGATACTTGCTTTTTAGAACGAAAGTCGGTTGATGAAAGACGAAATGTTGAACTGGCATTAGAAGGTGCAAATCAAATGCTATCTGAATTAAGAATAGCATTGTCAGGCGCAGAAGGACGTGCAAGTGCACTAGAGACTCAGTTGGCAAGGTAAATTGTCTGTTCGATTTCAGTTATTCAGAGTGTTGTAGAGAATGATTTTATTTGCAGAGTTGAAGGAGGAAAACGAGACGCTGAATATAAACTTGGAAGTATCGTATCTAGTTTAAGACGAACTGTTGGTTATGGACCACGCGGAGGTTTAAGTCGTTCGCCGAGTCCAAATGCTCGTCGTCGACCGATATCACCAACAAAAGGCTTTGATACAACTGAAAATCGTTCAAGTCCATTACTACGTCGTACATCACGTAGTCCACAACGAAGTACATCCGGTGAACGCGCAAGATCACCTGGTTCAACTTATATTGATGTGGCTGATGTTGATCCCGAGTCCATCCGTACAGTATTAAGAGATTTTGTACAAAATTTTCTAACAACTGAACGAGAACGTGATGAAGCTATTGCTGAAGCAACACAATTACGTCGAACAACAAAAGAACTCGAGGATAATTTTCAACGAACAGAACAACGTTTTAGTCAGTTACAAAAAACGTTAACGTCATTCGAAGAAGGTGAGTTTGAACTAATGAAAACTTGTTCTATGTTTGTTAATTTTGATCGCCGTTCTTATCACGCTATCTTTTCTAGACAAGAAAGGTACAGATACTCGATTACAAAGTGCACAAAATGCCCTATTACTACAAGAAGATACCATTCGTCGAAGTGAACGTGAAAGGAAAACATTACTTGATCGTATAACAAATATGGAACGCCAACTTATTGCTAATGATAATGAGAAAACACAAATCATTGTATGTTTAAGTTTTATACAATATAAAGTGATCTAATGACACATTATTTGTTATCATTGATTTTTAGGAGAAAATTGGTCTTTCAAAATCCAATGAAATAAGATTGAGTGATGAGAAGAAAGTAATGAAACGTTCATGGGATGAGTCTGAAGCACGATTAACCGAACTAGAAATGCATAGACGTGCATTAGAAGGAGAAATACAGCGTTTAACAATGATATTAAATGATAAAGAAACCGAAGTTCAAGTACATCAAGAACGATGTGAAACATTAATTAAACAGATACAAGTGAGATTTAAAACCGCTATGAATGAGAGATGACTCTTACCAAACTCAAAATTATTTTATTGTGGGTTTTTTCAGGATCGGGAAGAAAAATGTCAATCGTTACAATTGAGCGTTGATCGCTTGTCGTTAGCATTAGCAAAAGCTGAGGAGGGCGAGTCGAGTTTAAAAACACGTGTACAGTCGTTGAATCAAACACTATCACAGACAAATTTTCAAACAGCAGACTTACAACAAAAACTGGGAGGAGTTCAAGGAGTTGTTCAAAGCTCGGAAGCAGAAAGACGAGTACTCCAGGACAAACTGGAGCAAACAAGGTTAGTTTTTAAACAGTTTTAATAAAAAGTAGCATTACTTTTTAAAAGACTTCAACTTATATATTATATAGAAAGGAAAGAAGTATAATTTAAAAGAGTAATCTAGAGTGAAAAGCATGAGGAAACAAATAACTTTCTTCCCTTACGCATATTCGTATCGACATACAGCTAATTCTACCGTGAGAAGGTAACAATATTGTACCATAACACCACTTCAGTTAGAGACATATTTCTGTAAAGAGTGCATTGATAATTATTAGAGTGATATACGTGACATACAATAAGTATTCTGAAGCTGATGTAATAGTTGTGCACATAGAAGTTTCATCTCTGAACCTATTTGGTTTATGTCTTCGAAATTTTTATTTGTACATTATAGGACTAGTTTATCAGACATGAAAAAACAAAACCATGAATTATTGGAACGTGTACATCATTTACAAAATGAATTGACAGATTCAGAAATGAGACGACACGAACTAGAAAATCAATTGAGAAATGCTAATACGGTAATTGTGTAAACAATGTGATTTTAATTTGAAGAAGTAAAGTATTTTAACTCCAATATATTATGACTGTTTACGATTTCTAACTACTTAAAGTACATCGCACAAATTTTCAGGTTGTTGAATCGGCATGCAAAAATTTGAGATTGGTAGACTACACACTTTGTAGTTTATTCACTTTTAGTGTGTAGTACACACTAAGAGGGAATACACACCAGACACCAACCACCTATTTCTAAATCTGTTATGCGTCACTATTATATGAATATTATGTTTCATTAATTATCTACGAGGTCAGACAGTTCGAAATGTAGTGCAGAACGGACTTGTATCAGATCTTGAGTGATTTACACAAAATTCATCAACTATTATAAATCATATTCATATTTAATTATTTTATTTCTTTTAGTTTCTTGTACAACGACAAGAATCAGAACAGGAAGCAAATCAGAAAATAAGCACGTTAACAGCTGATAAGCAAGCTTTACAAGAGAAAAATGCGGTAAGTTTCATTTGCTTGAAACAATGTAAGTATTTTTCTGAATTATTCTCAAATAGTTGCTACAACGACAAATGGGCAATTTGGATTTGGAAAAACGAGAAACAGAGCGAACAAAGTTACGATTGGAAAAGGATAAAAACGTTCTTAAGAAAACGCTCGATAAGGTATGTATTAGAAAATCTTATGACATTCAAAATATCTTATTGTTTTTCTATGTAGGTTGAACGTGAACGCGTGGTAACAGAAGACATTGTACGTTCAGCAGATCGTTCACAATTTGATCGACAGTTTCAACGAATAGAAGAAGAAAACCAAACATTACAACGCCAAGTTCAAGAATTACAAGCACAATTAAATGAGTCGGAACAGCGACATGCACAACGGTAAGAATAAACAAAAAGAGTTTTTCGTGTGAAGACTAACCGGGAATTTCTTTTTAGGTTAATCGATTTCACTACACGTAATAGACGGGAGACAGAAGCCGAAACTGAACGAATTCGAACATCACAAACAGCGTAAGTTGACTATTTAATCGGGTTTAAACGTTCAGTGTATATCTCAATTTTCTGTTAATTATAGAGCTGAAAGAGCCCTTGAAGCTAGAGAAAAAGCACATCGCGCTCGTGTTAAAGGCTTAGAAGAGCAGGTATGAAACGTTTATGTTAAGTAATTAATTCAGTAACAGTTCAAATAGTGAACTGTTTATCCTTCTTCTCCAGATAACAACTTTAAAAGAACAACTTGGCCAAGAGATACGTAAACGACAGACATTTCTAAATCGTTCAATTACATCTGGTGAAGAAATATCAGCATTAAGAAGTATGGTGAATGATTCACTATCATTTGTTTCTCGTGACCCAAAAGGACTAGATCCAATTTTATTAGATTATGAAACGAAAAGACTCGCCGATTCATCTGGTTATTTGAATGAACCGCCTCAACGACATCTCTCACCAACACGTAGAACATTATCACCCCCAATTGGTATGCGATCGATACGTACAGCTGCTGCAATTGCTGCGGCGTCTGCCGGTGGTATCCCTATATCGTCACCAAGTAGTACAAAACAACTAAGATCATCACGAACCAGATTAATGTAAATCAAACAGATCACTACTACTTTTTTTATCTCAGTATACAAGCGCCGAAACACAATTATTGCATGCTGCCTTCTCACGACTATCTGCTTTCATTTTTATTTTTTACTATTCACCAGTGTCTTAACACCTTATGTACTCAGGTTATTTTATACAATCTCATGATGAGGGCATTTGTTTGTGTTAATACTAAAAAATTATGAACAGTTTTTTTCTGAAAGCGTTCTGCTACCGCTTAATAGTTGTGAACGTTTACAGTTTGGAATTTTCTTCTACTTTTTTTCGAAGAAGAACTATGGATTAATACTTCATAACATTTGCCTTATTTTTCTACTTTCTCACACTTTCTACTCACTTTCATTTAGTCTAAATTTCTACTCTCTTCTTTCGTTTACATTGTTTTGTTCAGTATAGAAAAACAGTTTTCAATCACAGTGACGTTATAATCTCTATATTTTCTTTTTTTTTGTTTTCTCTTTCCGTGTGCGTCTTATAATTTCTCTTGGATTCATTAGATTATTTTTTTTTTTTGTTTTGTTCACAAAAATTTGCTAACAAAGGATATGATATTTTTTAAAAAAGCTTTTGTACAATATATTTAGGCTAGAATGAATTCGTTCTCGTATCTTGGTGGTCATTTTTTCTCAAATAGCAATCTCTTATCCAAATAAATCAAAAAAAAAAAGAAGAAACAAACAAATCATTTAATGCCGTCCATGTTTTTTTTTCTTTTTTAAATCACCTATTTAATTTTTTACAATAGTTTTTTTTTTTGTAATATTGTCAATAATTTTTTTGCGTTCTTTTGTTTTTTGTTTATTTAAAAAGCTTCTATAATATATAGTGAATGTTCGAGTTCTTTATGTAAGAAAATATTTATAACCATGTATGCAGTTAATATGTTTCTTTTTTTTTAACTGTATTCTGAATGGATTTTATTACAGAATAAAATGGAATTTTTTCATACCAAATATTTTTACAGCATGGTTTCCTATTATGATGATAATAATCTGTGATGGAAAATTTCCTAAGAAAATGTATTGTTATAGAACACGTCAATGGTAGCCGTTCAATATTATTTAGATGCTGAAGTCTAAATCTAAACGGCGTATTGCACTGCTCTTTGTTTTCACCAACTGGCTTACAAGCGTTCATCAAATTTAGTTCTTGTCAGCTATCACTAATAAATCGGTGACTGACAGCATTAAAGTCATAGGGAAAGACAATTTTTATTGAAAAGCTATCCTTGTATTGTCAATAACCAATTCAGAAAGGAACAGAATAATTGAATATTGTATTTTCAAATCATCACTTAATTGTTTATCACTTTTCTCATTTGAAGTAAGATTGTGGACCAAATTATCTTCAGTATCTAAGTCTTCTTTCTCTTCATTATTTAAAATTTAAAATGTTTCAACAAGAGAGCATTTTGTAATGTTCAAATTCATTCCTCACTTAGACCGTGAGATGGGACCAAAGATTGAAATTATTTCACCTGAAGTGGTCTCTAATTATGGTGGATTCATGACGAACTGAAAGAAATGTAATCTTTCATCTCATATTGAAAATTAAGTTAGTATCGTTGAAAAAGTTTATTACGTTTTGTTTTACGTTTATATTCTCGAGCGGCTTACTGTTCGAGTTCTTACTCAATTTTCTCTTTATATGCAAACTCGGTGAATATTTCTGATATATTTATTTGTTATTATTCACCATATTTTTTGGATTATTCTTATTAAAGGTTGACAAACTAACCTGGATGAATAAATGTTAACACTAGAATATTTTATAGTTAGATAACTAAATAATTTGAGTAGCTAATGTGTAGTATCTGTAGTGTAGAATACATTGCAGTTCATCTAATAATTCAATTTTAAGTTCGATGAGTGATCTTTTACATAATCTTTTAACTTGTTGATGTTATCTGCTTTAATAAAATACATTTTCTAATACTAATTGCAACGGAACTATCCATGATGTGTATAGCGTCGGCAATATAATGAATGCATTAACTGTTATTCGTACGGTAATACAATATTCTGTTTGGATTTTATTTAGACGTTCTTCCGTTTTTTAGCTCTGATTTTCCTTGTTGTTATTTTGAAATCTTTTGAGCGTACTAATAAATCAATAGAAGGTAATAATATGTTTTGGGTTTTTTTAACATATTTCATAGTACCATTGATTATGATTGTCGTGTATGTATATTGTCTGATGATTCGTAAGTTTTATATTTAAAATAACATTTGATATCTGATACGTACGTATCACGCAGGTCCTCCCATGTTTTACAATACATTTCAATCTTCTTGAAATCACTCTAGTTTTGTAGAGTACGTCGAGTTACCTAGAAATCTATGTTAAGCTTCGAAAAAAGTACCTGAGTCATGGTCGGGTAACGGTCGCAAGATGATTTTTTGCCAGAAATGGGTGCACTGATGCTCTATTTCTATTTTCATCTAGCATTTTAAAATTTTTTTAAATAAGTCATTCCATAGAGATCATTGATTTATGATCCAGTATGATTTTGAACGCAAATCATCCAGAAGTATCCGAAATGCTTTGCGCTTCTTCAGAATCTACTTAAACTTCTTCAGGAAAACTTCAGTAAGAAATCTCTTGTAATTTTTCATTATTGTCCTAAACAACGGCATCCATCCTCTATTCCAAGCTTTTCCGATAACTTTCAACTTCTTAACGAGAACGTGCATACAGGAAATAGAGAATTTCCTGTGCTTCAAAATGAGCTATAAACAATCTTTTTCAAAAATATGCCGATGTAAGAGCATTCTGGAAATATTGAACTTAGATGTTGGTTTTCGTATTTGCAAGGGCGTTGGGTGTCTATGTCAGAAATCCTTTACCCGTTATAAATGACTTTTTTCTATCAAAAACATATCCGTCAAACATATCCGTATCAAAAACATATTTTCTGGAAGCACATTTTTTTCTAGAGGGTTTTCCATGTCACTCCAAAGGATTTATGAAAAACTTTCTTCGCGAATATTTCCAAAGCTGCATGGACTAGATGCGGTTTCTTGAGAGAGGCTCACCATTCGACCAAGCATCTGCTTAAAAGATCATAATAAGTCAACATTTTTTTTCCGTTCAAAGCGTCTTCATTCGATTCCCGATACAAAATAACGTGTAAATCCAAATTTGTAGCGTTCGGCGTCTTTTTACTGCAGAGTTATGACGTTTTTTTTGAAGGAACCTGACAATTTTACAACGTTTTAGTATTTTGACTATAACTCAAAAATGACACGTGCAATTTTTTTTAAGCAACAGCTCGTTCGAAAGAGAATCAAAAATGGAACAAAATGATACATTAGAGCAGATCTATTGCTGCAACGTCGAGGTAATATGCTCAAGTTACTCTCAAAAGACATCATTTAAAAAACGCAATTTTTTCACATAAATTCATCATAGAGGTTTCCTTTTACATGGGACTAGAGAATAAGTTTTGTTCTTTCGTCGAGCTGAAAATTCTCTATAAAATGAGCATAAAAGGCTTGAAAAAGAAATTGCAACACTAACACTTGTGCATTTGTCATGTGCACTGAGAATACCGACTTTTTTGAATATTCCTGTTAAAATATGGCCTTGTCAGCATAGTCAACGATAATATTTCTATTTTTCCACCATGAAAGAACGTAGGTTGCGGTCTACATAATGTATCAGAAGAAAGCTGTTTCAAAACTCTGCAAAATGGCTGGTACTTCATTTCTAGTTGAAAGTGCCAACACTCACTTTTTCGGATATTACTACTGAAGAGTGATGTTTTTGGCCTCATAACTCTGCAGTAAAAAGACGCCGAAAGATTTGGCTTTAGACGTTATTTTGTATCGGAAATCGAATGAAGACGCTTTGAACGGAAAAACTTTTTTGACGTGTTATGATCTTTAAAGCAGATGCTTGATCGACTGATGGAGTCGCTCGTAAGATGATCCAGGATATCTCCTTTAAAGCCTCTAAAGATTTGGGAAAAGTTTAATCTGCATAAAGACATTGGATTTTTTAAGAAAATATGGAAAAATGGGAAAAAACTTCAAAAGCCAAAGGCTGCTTACGATCTTTCATAGACTTTAAAGGAGATATTCTGGATCATCTCAAGAAACCGCATCTAGTCAACATGGAATAAAATTCAAAACTATTTGCCTTACACTGATAACAGCTGGAATTTTTTTCCAGGAATATCGTTTCCACCGACTCTATAACGACGATAATAAACGCAATCACTTGTAAAGACTATTTAAATATATACGTAAGTGTACAGCCTTCATATAAATGTATCAATGTATGAATGTATTATAACTCGTAGTTTCCTTTTGCACAATTTAACGCAATGCGAAAATACCTAATTGGAGAAGTGCAACGTATGAAAGGTCGGCAGATCTAGTCCTGGAGCGAAGTTCATGAACGCTCATGGACGTTCGAGTCCATAACAGTTGCCTAGCTTAATTTCATGTTTTTAGTCCTTTTATTTTCTAGTCCACTCTTGATCACTTAAAAGAAAGAGAGGTGAAGATGGATGTTGAACTAAAAAATCTGATATCCTAGAACTTCCTCTTCCTTTACTAAAAAAAAGATACATTATCATTCACAATCCATCTCGTGGCAGACACTTCTCCACTCCTAAATGTTGATTCAGCATGACCTTTTAATAAAAGACGGTCTATATCTGTTATGGGAGACTGCCATGAACGCAAATTTTCCGTCCGTGGATGCCCCCCTCAAAAAAATCTATGGGTGCCCCTGGACGTCCGAGTCCATAACAGTCCCTGCTACATAAAACAATCATTATAGTTTCAAATATACTCACTGCATGAAAGATCGTTGATTTACGATTCATCTTTCAATTTCTTCGATTATCCTCTTTCGTTTCTTTCAAAAAATCTTTTCATTTTACATTACTAGCCTTGAAAATACATGTGTTCAAATCTGTACATTTCCTTCCTCAGACTCCCGACGCTAGTTTCGTCTATCTGAAAGACGAATAATTATATTTGTTGTTTTTTTTTACAATTATAAACAGACAATTGACTTACTCAATAACGATATCTCAAGTGCGCTACTTAATCCACATGAACGATCATATTTCAGCGAATTTGATGACATCTTCTGTAACAGACATGAACACAAAAAGACCGGTGTTTTTCAGATAGACTAATCAATTTTGGAACAATGAAGAAGCGTCGATTCACTCAGGAACGTTCATGTATAAAGACAAAGTTAAATTCTTTTCAAAATAGGAGCAGAAATATCCCATAATCGATAATTTTTCTTTCTGTTTAGCAATTGACAACGTTTAGAAAGTACAAGTTCTCGGTGCAGGTCGTAATTGCTTGGTAGATAAACAACACAAAAATATTTATTTATAATATACATTGTAGAAAAAAGAAGAATATCTTGAATACATGTATCCGCTCCATTCAAGTCATAGCAGATGAACGAAAACTTAATTGTTGATTATCTCTCTATCGAAAGACAAAAAAACATCAAAAGATTCAAACTAATATTTTAGTTTGTTACCTATTTGCTGAAGTTTAACACTAACACACTGTATAGAAAAAACGAGTAACGAAAAAAATGATTTTTTTGAGTTAATCAATAAAAAAAAAATCATGTTATTACGCAACGTGATGAACTGAACAGTTTTACTTCAGTTTGTCATTTATATGTAAAGAAATGAGAAAGATCTACATGCGCAGAGAAAAGAAGTGAACAGATTCAAAAATATAAGAGCAAACGCACATACAGTAATAAAAGACTCTTCATTCTTTCATTTTAAAAAAACGACAACAAATGACTACCTGTATACAGTTGAAAGAGAATTTGTGTAAATTTCTACTATATCAAATGTTCAAAATCGGAAGGGACTTATGAGTTGTAGTACTATTGAATTAGCTGCGCCAAAGAGAATGTAAGATACATTGTCCGCTACTTAAACGTTACTTGTTCTAGGCTATCAAAAATTTCATCAGAGAAAAAGCGTCAATTTTTCTAAGCTTTTGATATTTCAAGAAAGCTTACGCTTTCGGGGAACAACGAGCTGTGAGATGTCTATTACTTTAAACATACAGTGCAATACACTTGAGATCATTCAATTACTCTAATACACCTATACGAATGAAAAAACCTCCAACAGACTCAGCGCCGGTTCTCAGAAAAACGACTGATTACAAAATCACATTTAACGTATAAAAACAAACTGATACATGTTTAATCTGAGAGCACAATTATCTCTGGCTCTTCTTGTGTCGATTTCTGTGAAACGTTCTTCTGTAACCTACGTTTTTTATAATTACGTCGACTACTACTAGTTGATGAAGATGAAGAAATTGTTGATATCGATGACGGAGATTTTTTACGGCTTATTTTTAAACGTTTGTGTTTTGTATTCGTTTCAGATGAACTGTCATTTCTAGTTGAAGAAGACGAGGTTGACGTAGAAATAATACGTGCTTTTCGTTTAGGTAATTGACGAGATGATAGTAATGGACTCTGTACTGAACCATTGAAACGAAAGGAGGGATCATCCGAACTACTGGTGGATGAAGCAGAAGAGACAGGTGAAGAACTCGATGAACGGGATGATGAAGACGGAGAATATTTTCTTGACGGATTTTTTTTCGTGGAGGCTATAGACTCTTTTTGTGAAATCATTTTATTTCGTTGAACAACAGTTGATAACAATACTTGACTCATTGATGAAGAAGTTTGCTGTTGTGATGGTGGTAATTGTTCCCATGATCCACAATTTTCTTCTGATGGAAAAATACTGACATGTGAAGAGTTTGAATCACGATGACTGTTGAGCGCTGCCAAAGGATTATTATTATTGTTATTATTATTATGCATTTCGAACGGTTCATTAGAATCAGCACGAGTATATTCAACAGCATCATCTAGTTCACTATTTCCATTTTGTTGAATATAATTATTATTGACTTCATTTTGATTAGTCTTTTCTTCTTCGTCATCACTGGATAACACAATCACTTGATCAATGACATTCGATTCTGCCGGGAAATTGTTGGTATTGTTACTATTTGTTGTTTCTACAAAAGAGAAAAAAAACTATGACATTCTACTGTATTCTTGAATATCGCTTATAGAATCACTCTTAAATGTCGCTTTTTCATATTTTCTACAGTCACAATGAAATACTGTCTATTTAAACATACTTCTTGGCGAGGATGTCGTAGAATGATCAAGTATTTCAAAATAATTAATATCATTTTTTTCTCTTTTTGTATTAGGCATAATAGCATCAAATCTCTCTTGTTTAATTGTATCAATAATATAATTAAAATGAGGTATCATATAGTCATCACCATTTTGATGTCTTGAAGGATCCATTTCAACTGTCGAACAATTCATTGGAACAGATTTTATAATATTTTCTAAACGTTTATCAACTGCTAATGTCTCATACGGACAGGCCTAGAACGAAAAGTAGAAGAATTAAGAGTAGCGAATAAATACATGACAATATTTAATACCTTTTTACACAATGGACAATTCCATGTCATACGTTTTTCATTCATTATCAAAAAATTTTTTAGGTCAAAACAAGTTAAATGTGAGCAATGAATAGACTTTGATGGCATTTGCATTATCGTTTGTGTTATTGGACATAAAAGTGATACTTTACATGTTGTCGTACAAATCACATCTTCTTCATCTAATTCAATATCACTGTCATTAGTCTGTTGTCGTGTTTGAAATGGATTTTGAAATACATATGGCTCTCGTTTTAATATGTTCTCGTAGAGAGCATTTAACGGCACTTTTTTCATTAAATGAATGGCTAATGTATACGATTTGGGAAGATTTTTTAATTGCATATTCGTTGGAGATTGCATCCACATTAAATCAATGATATTGATCGTGTTTGGCTTTGCTATAATTAGATCCGTGATGTCACTGGGAAATGTGGGATGATGTGCCTGTTGGCCCATGGTTTTCGTTACTGTTTGTTGTATAGCTGATTGACCATTACATGCGGCGTACAAATAGGGTGGCAATACATCGATTTGTTGGTCAAACGAATTTGTAACACAAAATCTCAGAAATAAACGCATCTCAGAAGGTGTATGACTAATCGATGATGGATGAAGTTGTTCGATTTCTTCCGCATTTAACGTAAAACGTATCGGTGAAAGATTCATTTGTTCAACGTTAATATTGGAACATATAATTGTTTTGATTTTATCATAAAATGGTAATGGTAAAAATTCAATTTCATTTGGATAAGTTGAAGACGACGTGAAAGAACAGTGAGTGGGAAGGATTTGCGGAGATGAGGAAGAATAACATTGGCTGTTGATATTTATTCTTTGGTTTTGTTGTTGTGATTTATTAAACATTTGTTGCTGTTGTCTCGATGTTTGAATAACTTCTTTTGTTGAACTTATACGGTTTAAATTAATTTGTTGAATTTTCAAAACTACTTGTGGTGAATAACTTAACATTATGTATTTCTTAACGCGTTCTTGCAAATCACGTTTATGACCACTGTGACTCAGATGAGCGTAATCTAATAAAGCCTAAGTAGAGATAAATGAAGCAAAATTAAATCATGGAAAAACTAAAGTAAAATTTACTTATTTACCTGTAGTTCTTGTATACGAAATTGTTTTACCAAGTTTAATGCTGCACTTTTCGATAGTGCCATACCGATATTATGTACACTTAATTGTTATATTCGTATTTTTATTTACATTTGTGCACATGTCAGAAAAAATACATAGGATTTTGAAGATCACTGAATAATAAACTTAAACTTACTATATTATCTATAATAAAAATTGTGCCGTTTAAGATATCTTTCTCAAAATTATTTACAAATGCAGATAGACTTTCTACTTCTTCACAAATGGTCAAAGGTTGCCAATATGTCTTGCAAGCCCTGACGGTAGATAGAAATAATCAAGAAGCAATTCTGAATTGATACCTCAGTAGTATGACAATGAAACAGTAAAGATCAAGAGTCAAATTTGACCATGAAAAATCACTTCAAGAGCCAGAAATGAACTCCAGTATGGATGTAGTTATCGTTTTTCTTTATTAGCGACTTCTGTTTGACCTGATTTCACGAGCAAACGCCCATCAATATTTTTGATTTTTTTCATAACGCAAAAACATCAATTTAAATTACCAAAATGAATTTTATAGGCGTACGTCGTGTGGTGTTGGTATTTATTTACTTATATATTTCAAAAAGAAGAAAAATAGAAATAACGGTTAAACTAATCGTGTGCTATTCGTGTTTCTTCAAGACAATGGAAAACGAGCCAAATAGATGTCAGACTTAATAAGTAAGAGCTGAATTGAGTAGAGCTAGTAAGATGAAAGAGGTGCACTGTTTATGAAAATAAGGAGTGTGTGCCAGTGACGCACGAATTTTACCATAGTGTGTTTTCGAAATTCGAATATACTTGCTCATTATTTAAAACTAACCCGGGTCAAAAAATCAGATCAAGATCTTACACGATCTTATAGAACCTTACGGAAACTCATAGAAACAAATTCATTTTGTAAAATCTTATAAAAATCATATAAGAATCTTACAAAATCTGATAAAATCTTACTATAAGATCTTATATCAACAATCAGTTTCTGTGTTTCTTACAGAATATTACCAATTCTAGTAAGAACCTGACGAAATCGTACAAGAATCTTATAAGATCCTACAGTAAGATTCTTTAACCTGGGAAAACATTACTTCCCAGGTAAAAATATTAGATTTTATCAGATTTCGTAAGATTCTTATATGACTTTTATAAGATGTATCCGTTTCTATGATTTTCCGTAAGGTTTTATAAGTTCGTGTAGGATCTTGATCTGATTTTTTGACCCGGATTAGTTTTAAATAATGAGCAAGTATTCTGAAGGTTCTCACAAGTATTCGAAAGATTCTTTAAGAAACATAGAAACTGGTTCTTGATCTAAGATTTTATAGTAAGTTTTCATCAGATTTTGCAAGATTTGTGTACGATTTTTATAAGATGTATCCGTTTCTATGATTTCCCGTAAGTAAGGATTTTATAAGAACATGTAAGATCTTGATCTGATTTTTTGACCTGGATACATAGTTAAATGTCGTTCTTTGATATTCATTTTTTTCACTCAGAAAGCTCTTAGCGCCAGTTGAAAACTTTCAAAGAATCTATCATCGGAAATAAAAGCCTGCAATCATACGTGCACTTGGTAAAGGTAAAACACACGGGAGTAGTATTACGAAAAACCTTAAGTCTAACTTAAGTCAAAGTTTGGACTTATCTCTGTTTGACTTAAGTAACTAACTTAAGCCTTTGAACTTGAGTTTTACCGTATTACAAAATAACTTAAGTCATGAAAAATGTACCCAGGCCGAACAATCTTATGAAATCTTACAATTTGATCATAGAAACTGTCTCATCTTATAAAAATAATATAAGAATCTCACGAAATCTGATAAAATCTTACTATAAGATCTTATATCAACAATCAGTTTCTATGTTTCTTACAGAATATTACCAATTCTAGTAAGAACCTGACGAAATCGTACAAGAATCTTATAAGATCTTATAGTAAGATTCTTTGACCTGGGAAAACGTTACTTCCCAGGTCAAAAAATCAATTTTTCAAATAGCTCAGGCATTTAACGATACGATTCAACAAAAACAACTTTTTAAGGTTTAGAGAATAAATATTTTGATATTTTGCGGGTTTTTATCGCTAGTTTGTCACTATTGTCAACCACTTTCAAAAAGTAAACAAATCAAGTCTTTTCGTAATACGGTTTAAGTCTGCGAACTTAAGTTGGTCTTACACTTATACTTAAGTTGATGACCTAAGTTTTTTTGTAATACAACCCCCTTGAATTAATGGTATCTGTTTAGTTTTGAAGAACTCTGGTAGTTTATTCATTTTTTCGATTTTTTGAGATAAATTTAAAGACAGATGTCGCATAGTCTAAAGTTCTTGTTTATTTTTTAGAATCTAATTAGTTAAACGTTTTTATCGTTTATTTCAGAACTGTCATTATTAATTACGTAAATAAAATGGTCGTGTTATTATGCTTATTATAAAATGGGTTTATTCTAGGAGGAATGAAGAATAAGAAAAATTGGTCAATTATATGCAGATGAGTTTGTTGTTTACGTTATTATAATTCAGGCCACAATACAAAATTTTCAAACTACAAATTTGACACATGAAATTGTAATAATAACAGGATCTTCATTTAAAGAGATGATTTAAAACGAAAGTTCAAAACGCTCTTTGAAAAATGTTTGATATGTGAATTCTTCAGCAGAGAACAATGAGAAAGCATGTTTTCTTCAATAACAATAGAATTCTTTTTTGTGTTAATCAATAATTACTGTGAGAATCGATAATTACTTTTATTTGTGAAAAAAAATGAACGAATTGACTCATGTCTGTCAAAAAAAAATAGTGACATGTACATCACAATAAAAATACGCTCGATTTTTCTCTCTATTGAGCTTCTGTTCAATCAGAAAAATGTTCATGCTTGAAATAATTCAACTTATTTTCTGTTCAAAGGAGAATGAGCGTGCTGTGCTCTAGAATGTTTTATTTAGGACAATCGTTGCTTCTTTTAAAAAAATGTAGTCAAAATTTCTCATATAATGAGCAAAATAAACTGAACTTTCTCTGAAATTATTCACAATGGCCAATTGACATTTTTTTTGTTCTTCTATTTTATTGAAGTTTTGTCAACAAATAGATGCTATTAAGAAATAACATCATATAATAACGATGATTAAAATATATGAAAGTCTATTTATATTATATTCGCAAGTTCCTACGTGTGTATAGTGTACTTTTTAAGAAAAAGAAAAACATTTTATCAGAAAAGAAAATCTTCCTTTATTAAACAAGCAGGAATTTCATCAAAATATGTTTGATAGAATCACATTTTCTTCTATTCTCATCTTTCGTTTCTTGCCGGAGACAATGTTCTTCTGTTCTGTCATCATCGTGAATATAGACTTATATTATCTGTATGTTAATGTTAACGCCTTTGAACAAGGCACCAACGCCCTACTTTCTATCTCTTTATATATATATATATATGTACGTGTTCAATTCCGTCAGACGATAGACCAACCCAATGATTGAACTTTCGATCTTCATCATCATAATGATACATCACTTTTAGTTGTTTGTTTTTTTTCATATCCACATCATTAACGATGAAATATTGAAATGAAAAATCGTTGAAAGACGATCTAATTAAGAAAATGAATTCATTATTATTATTATTTTGACAAAAGTATAAAATCGTCATATATAAAAAAAAATCTTTTTTCTTTTCTCTTATATTTTTTTCCTAGTTGTCAGAAACGAACGAACACGTTACCTAGAGAGAATGAAAGAGAGAATTTACTTGTCAAAAAATTACTGTATCGTCAACACATTCATATAGCCATAGAGAGAATATACTAAGGGCATAAAACATTTTTTTTATTTTTATTTGAAACAGTTCGCAGAGAGATATAGCCGCTATATATAGAATAGAATAGAATAGAATAGAATAGAACAGAATAAAAATAAAAGACAGAATCTGCTGCATTATGATATTACACCTAAATAGAAGAGAAGGGAAAAGTGTATGTACCTTATTATATTTTTTTGAATTCTTTCCGAATAAGACACATATACACAAACCTTTTCTTCTTTCTTTCTTTTTCGTTCCATGGTTAGAATTTGTGCGTGACCGCGTACCAGAGAGAACACTATTAATGTGTATATGCGTATGTATCAATACAAGAGAGAGAGAGAGAGATACTAACTTTATACACACATGTTTAACACAATAAATATGTTCAGTTGATTTCAATTTTTTTAAAAAGAAAGGTAAAGAATTGAACATAGATTATTATTAAATGAAAATGGCATCGACAACAACAATACCCAATGCTGTTCAATATTTAATTCAATCACAACCGTCAACAAACAGTAACAATTTTATCTATAATAATTCATCACCGTCAACAAATAATTCACATCATCATATGCCAAATATTAATAATCTTCAACAACATCATGTAAAATTAGTTAATCATTTAAATACAAAATTTGCATCATCATCACCATCATCATTCACAACTTCAACTTCTTCTGCAATGTCGTCATCATTACATTCCACAACTAATTTGATGAAACCTCCTCCATTATCGAATAATCACAGTAACAATAATGACTTTAGCACATTGCTAACAGCACAAAATAATAATAATGGAATAACAACAACATCGTTGACAGCCCATGATAATGGACTTAATGGTGGTGGTGGCAGAAGTTTATCACAAAGCATGGATTCAATTAATAACATAGGAATTGATGACGAGGTAAATAAAGAAAAAAAAAATTAGTTCTTTCTATTAGAAAAATGCTAAAATTATCTAATAACAGATAGATAAACGGTTTAAAAATATATTTGAAGAATTAGCTCCTATTGAATGAAGCATATTATTGTCATGTTTCTTACACTCTTGAAACTAGTCTTCTAAAAGAAGAAAATAGAAAGTAAACACCTTGATTTGCGCATATATGAGTCGTTTGAAAGTTCAAATTGTCCTTTGTAACATTTTGTTCTATCTGTTTATATTAGAAACGTACATAAGTCATGAGTTTAAATTAAAGTAGGAACAGACTGACTATGGTAAACTGGAAAATGATTGTGTAAATGCGTTTGAAATAAGACAGAATTTTGTAATTTTTTCGCTTTTTCTTTTCCTATTAACAACAGATGAGAAATTACCGTTTAATTACAGTAGATGACAAAACTTTGTTTACTACAATATTTTCTAATACAGCTATAAGATTTTAATTGAAAAATCTACTCTTGTGTGAAAATATTAGTCATTTTATTGATTGAGATATATATATGAAATATTCGCATAGATCATTGAGAAGATGATACAATGAATTTTCTCTCTTTCTTTCTAATAAGTGTGTATATAAAAAAAGAAACCTAAAGAAAAATGCCTTGCCGTTGTTTTTTTTATTTATATCGTCTTATAATGAATTTGCTTTTGGATGCCATTCGTTGTGAATGTTCAAACACAAATCATGTTTTAATTTGTCATTCTTATTTTTTTTATATCTTAATAATAATAGAAGAAAGAAGAAATATAAAATAGTAATAATATTGATAGAGAATTTGAACGTCATGAATGAAGAAAAAAATAAAATGAATTTCTTTTTATTTTATATTTTTCTTCTTTATAGAATTTTATTTTTATATTCATATATAGTACTTATTCGAATAATAATATTGTTAACGTTTTAATCAATAGAAAAAATATGACAATGATTAGGGAATATATAGTAAACAAGAGAGAATAAGAGACATCCATATATACTCAAATTGAGTGAAATCAATATTCTATTTTTAAAAAGATAAATTGAACTCATCGTCATAATTTAAAGAATTATTGATTTTTATGTTTTCAAGTGTAATAGTACTAGTCTACTCAAGTGTAGCTAATGAAATTATAAAAATAAATTGCCTATAGGATATTATTGGATAGAAATAAACTTTTGTTTATGTTAACAATGATTATACGAAGTAGAACGAACTCTTTACTACTTCCTTAGATAATGTACGATAGAAATTTTTTATTTCTTCCCTCCCCATCTAATAAGTCATTTTTGTAAACAAGTTTATGAGATTATTTTTTGAAAGTAGTATTGAAACAATGCTTCATTGCTATTTTCATATTATCGAATGATTTTTTACTTTAGTTTCATGCTATGCGTGAACTTTTCGTTTTCTTAACAGCTGCAAAACTTGTTTTTTCTATTTGTTTCATCTCTTGCAATTAGAACAAATGAGTTATATAGAAAAACCGGAAAAAGTAATTGCAAATCCATAACAGGTTTAACAAACACGTATAGATCTTATTCTAGTGGGATATATTAACTGTAAATATGATCACGCATAGTGAGTCTCTAAAGTATAACTAAGGGGGAAAAAAAAAGAGGAGAAAAAGTCAATGTAGTTTTTCGTTCGATCAGTAATCATAATTGATAATCTTCCTATTCACTAACTAACATGAACATAATTTGACAAATTTGTTTGACAGGGAGGAGGGGGGTTAGGTGGAGTGTTGAAATATATTTTTTTTCTTCTTCTTAAAACTCTAATTAAGGGACAAGAAAAAAATTGAACTAATTTAGTGTACGGTGAAAAAAGAGAAATGGTAGTTGTTGTGTTTTTTATTTTTTATATATAAAATATGTCAATTTTAATTTTATAAAAAAAAACAAAAAAACGAATAATGTTTTCTACACCGACACCATTGACCGTAACTGCAACAATTTCATCTATACAAAACAAGTAGGTTACATTTGATTATCAAGAGTTAAGTTTCATATTTCTGATAAATGAGATGAATTAAGTCAAGTTTTTTCTTTATATTGTATTAGTATATAGTCTCTCCTCTATTTATTCACATTTTATTTCTTTTTTTCTGTTTATTATTAATCAAATTTCAACAATGTCAGAGATCGTGTATATTATATTTACTTTGTTCTAATATAAATTTATACTTATTTAGTATGCATACACACACACACACACACACACCTACACAATTTTATTATATAAACTGTAATAATCATATTCAGTTCTTATTTGTTGTTCTTTAATTCATCTAGTAATATTTCAATTTTCTAGTAAAAAATCTGTTCTCCAAAAAAAAACAACTAATGATCTATTTTAAAAATCAAATAAAAGTGAATATAATATATTCTTTGCCAAAGTTTGAAAAAAAAAATATTTTTTTTCAAATTTCTATTCTCACTTTTTATTCTTGTAATCAAAATAGAACAATGCTTTAATTTATATAGAAGAATCAATGCAATGAGCTTTTCTTTTTTAAAATGACTTTATATTAATGATGCATTGATAAATCGCTAGAAGAAGTTTCAGTAAATTAAACGCAAAGAATGTTAAAACAAATTATTGTAGAATAACTCAGACGTATAAAATGAATGTTCATACTTAAAATAGAGGTTTTTTTTTGTTGTTTTTAAAAATGTTGACAGCTTGAAATAATAGTATCATTAGAAATGACAACGTGTACTAGTACCTAATAGTATTAAATAGAATAAAGTTACTGCTAAGGAAATGAACTGTTTTTTTTTTGTGTCTATTTGCCGTAGGACTTATAAATTTTTCATTTTTTTTTTCGATAAATTCATTTCTATTTGACAGCAGTGTTAAAAAGGAAAGGAAGTTGATATCAAATAACTGTTATTTGTTTCTTGTTTTCGTTAAAAGTATACACTTATCACGCATTACTTATTGCCTTAATGTGTAGATATAAAGCTAAACAAATAATTGGTTTCTTATTACTGTTGGCTATTATTGATCGAACCTTTTTTTTCTACTATTCATTGCCATATAGATCAACAGCTCATTTCTTTGCCGTTAGATGTACAGCCTTCCGATATTTATCAATATTTTTAAGCTAAAATAATTTTCTCTTTTTGTCTGCTTTGTAAAAATTTTAACGTTGTATCAGAAATATTATTTCTTATTAAAAACAAATAAGAAAAGTTTGTAAAATGAGAATTTTTTCTTTTTTTTTTAATCAATTAAGTAGATAATCATTAAGACATCGTAAGATTGGGTATGATGCACATGAGTTATGGTAAAAAATCGGTAATAGTAGATAACAATAATATGAAATAGAATTCAAATAACAATGGGATTTTATTCACTTATTAATATATATGACAACAAAAAAAAATGTATAGACAATGATAATTCTCTATTTCCATACTATATACATTTTTAATCGTATAAAACATTTTTTTTCTTATTCTTTCGCTCTGACATATTAATCCGGCTCTTCATTAACGTGAAACAGCTGTATACACATTTATAATACATAATAACTCTGCTACCAAATTTAATACGTGAAAAAGCGAGAGAGAGAGAGAGAGAGAGAGAGAGAAGAGACGCAAGACTTACAGTGAGCAATAAACGAGAGAACTGAAAATGAAAATTGTTATTGTTTCTTTTAGAATACTACGGAAAAATCTAAAAAAAAAAGTTGAATTTTATTTGCTAAGGACAATCTTAGCGATCTTTATACGTTACATAAGAAGAAGAGGAAAATGTTTAGCATCAATATATATATATATATATATAAAATTCATTAAATATTAATGATCAGTTTTTATAGAAGGAAAAAGAAAAAAGAAGAAAAGAAGAGAACGTTTCCGATAAATTCATCGCACATATTTTTTTAATAGAAAATTGTTTTTCATTTATGATTTTACTGATTGCCTAATTGATTTTTTACAACTAACGTACAGTTTCATTGCTATTGATTAAAGCTGAAAAAAAAAAGAGATTTTTCTTCTGAACGACAATTACGATTATGAAAATCAAATTTAGATAGTAAATGAGAGAGAATTAGTGAAAAAATTAGTGTCAATAATGCGTTTGATGAAGAATATTATTCATTTGACACGTGCAAAATAAGTTTATAAAAATAAATAGCAACCTTCGTGATCCTTTCCAGATTGAACTATTCTCGTTTCTTATGAATATTTATACGAGAATATGCAATGATTAAAGAAGTTAAACCCATAATTATTAGTCATATCTTTCTACCATATTGCTCTAATTGAATGAATTAGCAATTTTTTTTTAGAAAACAGATGTCTCTCGCATAATTCTTTCATTAATATAACAGCTATATAAAAAACAGAAGAAATATATATAAATAGCAGAGGTTTGAGAAGCTTGTCTTGGAAGTTCGTCTTTTTATTTTCAAAAACATTAAAACTTATTGATTAATGCACATTATATAATGTTTTCTTGACAACAGTGGATATCGAATCGAGTTTAGTTTTCAGTTTTAAGATTAAATTTGTATTACCTACATCATTTCTACCTTATAAATAATTTGTTATGAAAAAAGTTAAAAATAAAATTTAACTAAGAATATTGTCTCTTTCAGATCTTCTCTCATCGTTTTTGGTTTGAAAAGGACAACATGAAGTTCGATGTACAGAAATAGAGCAAGAAATTCTTATTTAAAATCAATTAATTGTCTCACCGTCAAAGAGAAACATCTATCTCCGAAATGTTGTTTGAGCCTGTCATTAGTCTCTACACTATATTATAAAAAAATAAAATATAAAACGGAAAAGTAGAAAAATTTTGTATTTTCAATATTTCCTTAATTTTATCTACAAAAAAAAAGAAATTTGAAAAGCATTTTTGACTAAAGGAAAAATCAAACTGAATGAATATGTATGCTTCAAGACAAAATTCTTAAGTGATGCGTATACCGTTTGATCACCAAAGTATGTTGGTTATGCTCTCTCTGTATGTGTGTATGTGTGTGTGTGTGTGTGTGTGTGTTTCTATGATGGAACAGATGGGATTACGATTGTTCTTATTGTCTTTCAAAGACAAAGGCAACACAGAAACAAAAAAG